AAACCACCACCTAAAGGAACCCACTCTCTACTACATAACCCCCAATCCATAATACACTATAAAGTTAACATATAAAAACTTGTTTCCTTTATCATTGCAATATCCAATACCTAACACATAGAAGATAATAAATACAGTGTGAATTAATGTACTCTAAAGGGCTAAGGAGGCAATTATAATTTTGTTAAGACTCAATTATGAATAACTTACAAGAGGACGTTGTAAAGAAGTCAATCAACTAACTAGTAAAGGCAGCAACTCCAATCAACTGAAAAGAATTTCCACCTATCTCATTTTCTATAACTCTTGCAAGATATTTTGTTTGTGTAGAAAACAGCCTAAATGTCAGTGTTGTTTTGTAAATTCCAGCACATTCACGATAAATATTTCTACAGCAATAAATGCGACATATAATTTAATTAATGATGGACATCAATAGCTTTATCATTTAGCCCAGCAGTGAGTCATTTAGAATTAAAACAATCACCTTCAAAAGACACTACTAAAAAAATGAAGACAATGCACTGAATGGGAGAAAATATTTAAGTCATGATCTTATAAGGGACTTGTATCTAGAATACATTAGAACACATATAGAACACTTACAGCTCCATTAAAATGAAGACGAATAACCCATTTAAAAATGGACAAGGATCTGAACAGACATTTTCCAAAGACTGCATACAAATGGCCAATAAGCACATGAAAAGGTGCTCAACAGCAGTAGTCATCAGGGAAATGAAAATCAAAAACACAAGATACCGCTTTATACCCAACAGGGTGGCTACAATAAAAGAAGACATATAACTTAGCCAGTGTGACTCAGTGGTTGAGCGTCAACCCATGCACCAAGCGGTCACCGGTTCGATTCCCAGTCAGGGCACATGCCCAGCTTGTGGGTCTGATCCCCACTGGGGGGCATGCAGGAGGCGGCTGGTCAATGTTCTCTCTCATTGATGTTTCTATCTCTCTCTTCCTCTACCTTCCTCTCTTCTCTAAAATGAATAAAGAAAAAATATTTTTTTAAAAAGAATACATATCCTAACAAGTGTTGGCAGAGATGTGGAGAAACTGTAACAGCATACACCACTGTTAGGAATGTATAGTGATGCAGTCACTGTGAAAAGTAGGGTGGCAGTTCCTCAAAAGGTTATACATAGAGTCCCTATATGACCTAGCAATTCTATCCTAGGTATCAATCCAAGAAACATGAAAACAAATCCACACAAGGACTTACATGCAAATGCGTATAGCAGTATTATTTATAATAGCTTAAAAGTGGAAAGAATCCAATGTCTATCAACTGATGAATGGAAAAATTCATACAATGGGTTATTATTTGGCCATAGAAAAGAATGAAGTACTGGTACATGCTACAACATAGATGAGCCTGGAAAACGTGCTAACAACAGATCATATCAAATAATCTCATTTAATGGCAAATCTGAGCTGTACACTTTAAATGAGTGAATTGTGTGAAATGCTAATTATGACTCAATAGAGCCATTACAGAACAAAACTTATGATTCTGATTACACTCTATTGCATTTATCAGGAAAATTATAGCTACTTGCTTTTCATAAAGGCCTTGAGGTATATCCTTCCCAAAAGAAATTCTCTTTCTTAACAGGAGACAAAAATAAAGCAGGTAAAAAAAGGGGGGGGGGGCCCTGGCCGGTTTGGCTCAGTGGTTAGAGCGTCGGCCTGCGGTCCTGAGAGACCCGGGTTCGGTTCCCGCTAAGGGCATGTACCTCGGTTGCAGTTTGTCCCTGGCCCTGGTTGGTCGTGCGAGTGGCAGCCACTCGATTTGTTCCTTTCACATCGATGTTTCTCTCTCTCTCTCTGTTCCTCTCTCTCCCTCCCACTCTACCTGAACAAAAAATGGAAAAATGTCCTCGGGTGAGGATAAAAAAAAAGGGGGGGGGGGATCTTCACAACGGAATGATTTACCATGACTTACACATCATTTTACATACTCATTCTTATATTTTAAACAGTAATTTTTCCTACTAATGTCACATTTTTTTCTTCATTGAAGACTTCAAGAAACCAAAGAATGTCCAGCTTAATATAAAACGTTCAATGTTCCTTAATGTCTTGATTTCAAATTTGACCTATTCCTTTCATAACTACTTGCAGAGATATGTGAGGATTCAAGATATCACAGTAAGATGGCTAAAACAGTACCTGGCACTCAGTAAATTATTGTCATTATCATTAGGCTACAGGAGATGGAGGATCCTAATGATTAGCAAAACTGCAGAAAGAGAAATGGATAAAAAGGCTATGCCTACAAAGGCATAGTCACATGTCTAGAAAGGAAACCCTTGGCAGGATAATCCCAGAACAAACAGAATTGCATGAGCAGCACCATGATCACCACCACCACTATTATTAATCTTATTATCATCACCACCATCACCCAACACCATTCTCTTCCTAAAGTACCTATTTATATGTCTTTAATTTTTCTAAGTATGAAGTATTTAAACATATGGAAACATTCCCAAACACAGGTAATAAATAACACATCTTATCATTACCAACATTTGTTATCAATCTTTAAAAAATTGATAATATAACACAAATCCATTTTCATTTCTCCTCTCCGTTATGGTAACTAACCAGTGTGGACAAATAAAAGGGGTTCTATGGAAAGTAACCTCAAAGGGTGATGTGAGCATAATTCCTAACTGGGCAGGTCATGTTGGGTAGTCACACACCAGGCCTGTAACTTGTTTAGTGAAAGCTTTTAAACCAGCCCTGTCCATTGTTTTTATGCATCTAGGTTAACAAATTTTTGAAATACGAGAATATCCCTCGAAGGGGTTATTAATCTTGGAAATAACTCAATTTTATCAACTGTCCTGTAATCCAATCCCTGACTTGCTTTCCCCTCATTAATTTCAAATGCACAAAAGCTGCTAAACTGTCCTTCTCCAGAGCATTTGAGATCTTACTCTTCTGGTATATATCATTAATTTGGCCCAAAGAAACACTCATAAATTTTTTTTTACAGATTTGGATGTTTCTTATGTTGACACCACTATTACAGAATATGATGTTAATCCTTACTATGCTTGTAACCGAAACTATAGATATCTGTAAACTAGAGTATTCATTCGCATGTTTTCAAACTACTAAATGGCATATTAGTCTATACCTTGCTTTCACAACTCAACATTTTGCTTGTTTATTGTTGTGATTTTTTTTTAATCCATCATATTTCATATAGCTAAATTCATTCATAAAAACTACTGGATAGTATTATATGAATATCACAATATATTTGTCCATACTCTAAATAATAAAATGTTTAAACTGTTTCTAATTTTGTTATAAACAGGCTGCAAAACACTTAACTCCTTGAGCACAGGTACTAGTTTCTAGGATATATTCCTAGAAAGAAAACTTCTGGGGCAACTTCATTAGAGGTTGCTAAACTCATCTCCTTTTTACATTCTAACCAGCAGTGTAAGTTCGTTTCTCCTTATCCTTACCAATTCTTGGTATTGTCATTGTTTTTAATTTTGCAAACTAAAGAATATAAAGTGGTATCTCACTGGTTTATTTTTTCCTAATTAGTAAGATTAAGTATCATTCATTGGCTTTTCAGCTTTCCTCTCATGTGAAATGCCTTTAACAGTATTGCCATTTTTCTATTGACAGCATTTGTCTATTGATTTGTGATAGTTCTTCAAAATAGTCTGGTATCAATCCTTTATTGATTATATATGTTTTTAAATGCTCTATTCTCCCAAAAAGGATAGACTTTTTGCTGATTTTGAAATCTAGTTAAGGTTCAGAAGCAAAGACAATTCCTGCCTTCTCAAAGTTCACAGCTATTCAACAAACCTTTATATCTGGATTTCTCAAACCTTTCTGGCCACTCACAGAAGGTAAATTCCTCCTTGAGAGCCAATACACACACACTTATATATGAACTGAAATAAATTTCTCCTACTACAAGCAAACACACAAGAAAAGATAGTTTGTCTCCATTCTAAATTGCCAGGGCTACACTGGCTCTCATATCATACATATAGCTTTCATTTGGGTCGGTAAACCAGCATCTATTTTGATTAGCAATGGTTTATTAAAACCCTTAACTAATAAATAACCATCTTTTTGCTATATAATGTCTGAAACAACAATGAAAAGTGCCCATTCTCTCTATCCAATGAATTAAGAATTAAGGAACAAACCCAGACTCAGCAAATGAATTCTTAAAATTTTCAGTCACACTAACAAGCAATCAGTTCTTACAGATAAAGGAGTTCATAAGTGAAATGATTCTGGATATTTTGGTGACAACATACTACTACTCAAAAAAGTTAACTTCATTTACAGAAGCACATCGAAGGTTTTGCAAAATAAAGACAATGTCCTAGACGCATATATTCAGCAAGAAAGGACCTTAGATCACTCAATCCACTCCGTCATATTCAGGTGAGGCCACTGCAATACCGAAATTTGAAATTTGCTTAATCCAGGTCCTCTAATACCTATAAATTCAGAGGTCTTCCCACTGCATTACACATCTAATTTTAGACTCTCCAGTTCTGATCCCTTTATTAATTTTACAAGATTGAGTCGATGTGTGATAGAAATGATGGCAGTTAACTCCCAACCCCACACCAATCTTTTCCTTTCCACTTCCCTACCTTTCTCCTTCCCAGCCTCCATTACTGACGTGCAGAACGAAATAAATAGCTGACTGCCTGAACTGCTGGCCCTGATTAGGTGTGGAGTCCTGAGCGCCTCGTTACTGTGTCTGTGTTAAATCAATAGATCTTTTCTCATCCTTGGCTCCTTTATTCGGCAATACCTACAAAGCGCCGATTTTGCGGGAAGCGCAATGCACGCAGTTCCTCCAAGCCCCCGGGACACCGAAGCAGGGAGCCGGGGCGCCGGGAGGGGAGTGCCCGGCAGCGGGGTGCTGGGGTCGCTGGGGGAATGGGGCTCCCGAGGAGCGGGGCGGGGGCTTCCCGGCGACTCACCTTTACGCAGCTCCCGCTCCCACACGGTGACGATGGGGCGCGAGTGCTTGCGGTGGTGGATGAGCCACAGGGACAAGGTCTGCACGCTCTGCTGCGAGTTGCTCAACTCCGACAGCTTCTTCTCCAGCGCCGCCTCGGAGAAGGCGGACATCCCTTCGACACCGCGTTCACGCCGTCCCACGCGGTGGGCCGAGGGAAGGACAGTTTCTCCGCACTCGCTACGGACTCGCCCCCTCACCCCACCCTTCCCCACGCCGTCGCCAACGCCGCCGCTACATCCAAGACCCACCGCAAACCAGCAAGATGGCGTTCTGCCGGCAGTGACGTCACGGCCCACCCTCGGAAGAGGCGCGGCGAGAGGCGGGACCTCCGAGAGGCAAAGGCGGGGCGAAAGCAGCGCCCGGGAGCGGGACGGGGGCGTGCCGCCTGGGTCTGAGCTGGGCAGGTGGGGGCGGGGTTTGCCCAGCCTAGTACCCTCCTAGGGTAAAACCATCTGTGCCAAGAAAGGAGTAATTACAAATCTCTACATAGGCCTGTAAATTGGTAGAGGCATTTTGGAAGACTATTTGGCATGACAGATTATATTTTAACGTACACCTTTCCTGCGATCCTGCAATTTCACTAATTGCTGTCAATGCTAGGGAAACATCAGCGTGTTTGCACAAGGAGCTCTGTACTAGTTCTGTCCAGCTCAGTCACAGTGAAGACTTGGGACATTCACAGCAGGTAAATGGCTGAATTAATTGTAATACTCCACATTAAAGTACACATGCAGCAGCTTAAAAGATAAATAAATCCAATGGTGGATAGGGTTTATTTATCTTTTAAGTTGCAGAAAGAAAAGGACAATATAATACTTGTTTTATGGAAGTATATATTTTATAGCACTGGCTGACGTGGCTCAGTTGGTTGAGCCTAGTTCCGTGCTTGGAGAGGGCACTGGTTCTGGGGATACATGCCTGGGGTTGTGGCTCGATCCCCAGTAGGGGGAGTACAAGAGGTAGCCAATCGCTGTTTCTCTATCATGGATGTTTCTCTCTCTTTCTCTCTCTCTCTCTCTCTCTCTCTCTCTCTCTCTCTCCCTCCCTCCCTTCCCCCATTCGTTTCTCTCTCTACTATCTGTAAAAACATATATTTTTAAAAGTATATTTTATAAAATGTTATGCATTCTTATGTAAATGCATGGCAAAAGGTCTAGAATACACACTACATCAATAGTGGTGTCAGAGACAGGATCAGAATTGGAGTCCTTAAGCTGTGTCTATATTGTTCCCATTCTTTTACAAGAACATATTCATGTATCACTTATATAATTAAAAATTAATATCAACCCCATTGGCTGGCTCAGTGGTTGGGCGTCAACCCATGCACCAATAGGTCACTGGTTCAATTCCCGCTCAGGACACATGCCCAGGTTGTGGGCCCGATCCCCAGCGGAGGTCATGCAGGAGGTGGCCAATCAATGTTCTCTCTCATCAATGTTTCTACCTCTCTCCTCTCCTCTCTCTCTGAAAACAATAAGGAAAAAAATTATTTAAAAAATTAATATCAGCCCAGCTGGTGTGGTTCAGTGGTTAGGGTTGCAGGTTTGATTCCCAGGCAAGGGCATTTACCTGGGTTACAGGTTCCATCTCTGGCCTTGGTTAGGCCCATGCAGGAGGCAACCAATCAATGTATCTCTCTCACATAGATGTTTCCCTCTCTCTCTCTCCCTACCTCCCTCCTTTCCACTCTCTCTAAAAATCAATGGAAAAAATATCCTTCGGTGAGGATTTTTAAACAAATTAATGTCAAAAATCTCATAATTAACCCAGCACATTTTGAAATAATATTTGTCTTAACTATGGTAGTTCACAAAGGAAATAGATATTGTCACAGTCTAAATAGTAATACAGGAATCTTCAAAAACCTACAGGAATTCCTAACCATCTTTTGAAAAGCACTTTTTGATAACTTTGCACCAAGTAGGTATCAAACAGGTTTATTTACTTGCTTGTTGTATAAGTATAGTTTATGTTCCCCATTTCTTCTTTAAAAAAAAAATGTTTTTATTGATTTGAAAGAGAGAGGGGCAGGGAGAGAGAGAAACAGCAATAGGCTGCCTCCTGCATGCCCCCTATGGGGATAGAGCCACACCCAGCATGTGTCCTGACCAGGAATGGAACCAGTGAACCATTGGGATAATGCTGAACTGAGCCACACTGGCCAGGGCATCTTCTCCATTTCAAATGTCACTACAACTTGAGGCTCAGAGATAGCTCCCGTAACTTTCCCTCTCACTCCAGTATCTATTTCTGCCTCTACATTCCTGTCTTCCCCCATTGTATATTCTTTTGTTTATCCTATTTACTTAATCTAATTTGTAGCCTTAGTCCAATTTTAACCTGTCTTCCAAGACCTAAATGAATCTTCAACATTATTCTCTTCCATAAACTCTACAGCCACCAAAATGTCTACATATCATCTCCCAAATTGTCTTCACCTGAGAGTCCGATTCTTCCCACTGCCTTCTTCTCTATCTCAGTTGTACCTGAACTTTATTATTATTTTTTTTTTATCCTCACCCGAGGACATTTTTCCATTTTTTGTTCAGGTAGAGTGGGAGGGAGAGAGAGGAACAGAGAGAGAGAGAAACATCGATATGAAAGGAACACATCGAGTGGCTGCCACCCGCACGACCCACCAGGGCCGGGGACAAACTGCAACCAAGGTACGTGCCCTTAGCAGGAACCGAACCCGGGTCTCTCTAGACCGCAGGCCGACGCTCTAACCGCTGAGCCAAACTGGCCAGGGCTGTACCTGAACTTTATAAACCACCTTAAATTCTACCTTCTTTTCTTTCCCAACCAGTTCAATGCATGTAAGAAGTTCCTTCCTGTGTAGCACTTACTAACTTGAATGATTTATTTAGCACTTTCACTACTGGCCTATGTTATTTATAATTTTATACATATATTCTCTCCCTAGCTAGGTTTTGCTCTCAGTGACTCAGACAAAGCAACAAGTCCTCGGTTTTCCTTGGTCCTAGGTCTAATTTGGCTGCTCCTGCTCTGGACTCCCACAGTATCCTGTATATGATTGTACCATGGCTTTCAACACTGGTCTGTTATATCTACATTTATTGACATTGTTACTTATTGCTGTGTTTTCAAAATATTGACTGTAACTGTTAATGCCCTTAAATAATTATTACTTATTTTCATATCTTGTATACTCTGATTATACGTCGTGATTTTGTCTTTCCAAATACAGTCTTCAGAGTCAGAACAATGAAATTTTTCCCCATAAACTACCCTTGGCTCTCCTGGAAAGACCATAAAGTAACAACTGAAAGAAGGAAAGCTATCACAAGAGAGTATAGATTAATATTGTTTATGAATATGGATACAAAAATTCTTAACAGAATACTAGCAAAATAAATCCTGCATCACTTTAAGGGGATTAAACCAATTAACCACAATTTAATGGGATTATTCCACTGGGTGGGGTGATGGGATTAGATCGGGTTTAGCCTGCAAGGGTGGTTCAAATACAAAAATCAATATAATACACCCTATTGATAGAATGAAGGAAAAAACACATGACCATCTCAATTGGTGTAAAAAAAAGGCATTTTGACAAAACTCAACACTCTTTCATGATTAAAAAACAACTCATCAATGTAGGAGTAGTAGGGAACTTTCTCAACATAATAAAAGACATATAATGAACACATGAAAAACTGTTGTATTTCTATGCACCAGTAATGAACAATTTTAAAGTGAAATTAGAAAAATAACTTCATAAAAAATTAAAAAAAACAAACCCTCATTTATAATAACATACCATATAATAAAATAGTTAGAAGTGAATTTAACCAAGGAGATTTTCAGTATGTATTGAAAATTACAAAATATTATTGCAAGAAATCAAAGAAGATCTAAATAAATGGAAAGACAAGGATTAAAAGACATAGTGTTACTATGGTATATTACCTAAAAAAATCTTCAGATTCAATGCAATCCATATTGAAATCCCAATGGCCTTTTGTGCCAAAATGGAAAAGCTGATCCTAAAATTCACATGGAATTGAAAGAAACACTGAATAACCAAAACAATTTTGAAAAAGAAAAGCAAAGTTGGAAAATTCACAGGTCCTAATTTCAAAACTTACTGCAAAGTTACAGTAATCACAATAGTGTGGCATATTATTCACCCATAGAAAGGAATGAAATACATAGTAATACATACTAAAAGATAGATGAACCTCAAAAACATTATGCCAAGTGATAGTAGACACAAAAATAGCCCATATCATATGATCGCCTTACATGAAATATTCATAATAGTAAATCCAGAGACAAAAAGTATTTGCTAGGGAATGGGGGTGAGGGTGGGTGACTGTTTAATGGAGATTTTCTTTTGGGGTGATAAACATTTTTTAAAATAAAAATGGAAGTGATGGTTTTAACACATTGTAGTGTTAAAACACTTTAACACATTGTAGTGTTAAAGTGTACACTAAACTGTACACTTTATTTTTTTTTAATGCCAACCAGGACCTTTTATTTTATTTTTTAAAAATCTATATTGTTGAATGTATTACAGATGTCCCTCATTTTTCCCCCATTGACCCCCTCCTCCCCATTCCCGCCCCCTCTCCCCTTTTCCCACGCTGTTGTCTGTGTTCATTGGTTATGCATATAAGTTCTTTGATTTATTTCTTCCCACCTCCCAACCCCCTTCTCTGAGGTTTGTCAGTCTAGCAACCAATTTGTTCTTCTTAATCCCTTCACCTTTTTCACCCATTCTCCCAATGATGGCTGTTCTGTAGTTTAGTTGTAACTTTGATGTGGTTGTGGGAGGATGCGATACTGCGTTTACCTATGCCTCCATCTTGAACAGAAGTCCTCTAAACTGTACACTTTAAAATGGTTAATTCTATTACGTGCATTTTATCTCTGTGCAAAAAGAAAGGATGTCTAATAGGAATAATTAGGATTATTTCACATTCTCCATATTTTAATTGACCCAAAACTACTGTAAGGACTCTTATGTTTATCAAACTTAGGATAAAATAAAATATATAAGCTAAAGAAGTTCAGGTTTTCTAAGTTAAATTATGTATAAATGAACTATTTATATATATATATATATATATATATATATATATATATATATACACATTTCAATGATGTACTTCTCAAATACTTAAAGAAGCATAGTAATGTGTATATACAGCCTGCAAAAGATTTTCCAGGTTTCCAGGTTTTGTCTTTTTTCCCCATTTTTTCTTCAGATAGAGTGGGAGGGAGAGAGA